GGGACCACCTTCTTGTCAGTAGAGCAGCAAGGGCCCCTGGGGAGCCGGAGGGGGCCGGCCGGCATCGGCACCTCTGGTGTCACACCCGGGCTCGGCGGCTCGGGTGCAGGCGGCCTCGCTCGCCCCCTGCGCTGGCTGGACTGTCTGTGACACGGCCGGGGGTCCCGGAAGGTCCTCTTCGCGCCGGCAGCTCTGTCTGTGGGGGCCGTCCGGTCTGGAACGGGGCTGGGCGGGCGTGCTCGGCACCCTGACCCCGCGCTGCTGTGACCTCCCGCGGGGGTCCCGTGGTCTCCGTCTTGTCACCCTGGCTTTCTCTGTCCTGTCCAGCGTCTCGGTTCACCTCGGGGTGTTTTGACTGAGTAGCAGAGTGTCACTGCCACTTCCTCCTTTGAATTCTTTCTTCTTGGTTTTAGAGTTGTCAGTGGATTGCTTTGGTGTTTGGAGACGCTTTGACTCGGGGGCCCTTGGAGAACTCGAGCTGTCCAGACGTGGGAGTAGTCCTCTCAGGACTAGCCCTGTGCCAGCGCGCCTGCCACGGGCCCTGGAGCCAGAGCCGGCCGGGACCCCCGGCCCCCGAGCTCCCGTTCCGGGGCCGGCCGGGGTGGGCTGGGTTTGAGGGCCCGGCAGACACTGGGAGAGGGACGTTCTGCAGGGACGAGACACAAGGACTCGGGAGAGTGGGGAAGTGACAGCTGCAGACGCACGTGTGATGCAGGGGCCTGGGGGGCGTGCGTGGGGAGGCCGAGCATCGCCCCAACTCCGGTGCTGGGCGCCACGGGGACGCTGCGGGGGCACCGCGGGGGCACCACAGAGCTGCGGCAGTTAGGACCTGCTCCGGCCCCCGGCCGGGCGCACACAACGGAAGTGTGGTATCTCTTGGCCCTGGTCAGGGGGCCGGGGGCCGAGGCCGAGGTGTCGGCAGGTGTGGTTTCTTCTGGAGAGTGTGGGTGCCACCTTCCTCCATGTCGGTGCCCTTGTCTCCTCTTCCAAGGACAACCGTCACTCTGCACCCGGGGCCACCTCTAACCACGGCGACCTCTTTAAAGGCGCATCTTCACATACAGCCGTGCCCTGAGGTGGTGCTGGCAGTGAGGACCACCGCACCAACTCGGGAATTCGGGTGGGGCGGGGCGTCACTCCACAGTGACCCACAGCTGAGGACCGATGTGGGGGGTGTTCACCGGGGTGCAGGGAGTTGGGGGGAGACGATACAGGAGGGGATCTCAGCCAGAATGAGTAGAATTTGCCGATTGCAAGTCGAGTCGGCGGCAGCCGGCTGCTGCTGCGTAGTTTCCGACCCTACCGCTGGGCCAGCAGCCGTCTGTGAAGGGCCAGACAAGTGTCCGAGGCCTTGCAAAGCAGCGGGTCTTCCCCGCAGCCACGGACCCCTGCCGTGGGCGGGGTGAAAGCAGCCACACGTGCAATGAACGTGGCCGTGTTCCGAGTAAACCTCACGTGCAGGCGGAGGCGGAAGATGGGACCTGGCCGGCAGCCCACACGGGGCGGCTGCAGCGTTCCCGACGCTAGCAGCCCGTGCAGAGGGGGCTGGGAGGGGAGCTCCTGGTGACAGGGGGCTGCAGTGTGCCGCTGGAGACGGGACACCCCCGCCCCCATGTAGGTGATGGAGGGTTGTCCCCCGGCCCCGCCCCTGCCCCCTGAGGCTGTGCAGACTTGGCCTCCCACCCCGACAGTCACTTCAGGGAGTGCATTCCTGCTCCCTGGGCCCGGGCGTGTTCTTGAGGAAGCGTGTGTTGTCACGTGGGAGGGATGGCTCAGCGTGGTGAAAGGGGGGGGTGGATGGGTACTTTGGGTCTGGAACAGCGGGCGATTAGGAGAGAAGGACCCGCGGTGGGGGTGGGGGAGTGGCCCTGTCCCAGGTATACCAGTACCCCGTCTGTGTCCCCAGTCTTCAGGGTATGCCCTCCGCCTACCATCCACCCAAATACACTTCTCTGGGTGGTTGTGGGGTGTTTTTTTAAGTCAGTGAAGCATAAGTAAGCCACAAGTGTAACACACGACCCAGGAAAAACCTCGATCGAAATGAAAGCAAACGCAAACGTGAAAGCCGAGCGACGGGTGTCCATACGCCGGCTCCCAAGGAGGCCAGCTCTTCGCCGCGGCAGTTTAGAAACTCCCCCCACCCCCTCCACCGTTACCTGCTGTCGCGGGAATCTGTGCAAACGTGTGAAGATCTTGGATCCTGAGACACTGGGCAGCCACAGACAGGCATTCGCTACAGAGCCGAAGCGGGGGGACTCAAATGTCAGATTTTGTTGTATTTTTTTTTTAGAAGCCTTCAGTATTTCTGATCTGGTGTAGCTGTTTCAAGCCATGGAAAAACTGTTGTCTTTGAAACTTGGTAATTAAGCAGCTGTCGACGCCCCTCCAGGGCAGCGGGACAATCCAATTTGTATCCCGGCTAAATCCTCGGCCTCTGGGCGCGTGCGTGGGCAAGCCCGGCCCCCGGGGGCTGCGACAGCAGGCGAGAAGCGCCGCCCGCCTCCAGAGGAGGCTCCGTGCGCGCCGCCCTCCTTGCACGCGCCGGGCCGTGCTCGCACCGCTCCGTGGACAGCCCGCGGCCGCCGCGGCCCCCTCGCCGTGCGGGGCCCCAGCCACTCGACGGCCCCCACACCCCCGTGTCGTGACGCTCCCTGGGACGGCCGACGCCGGCCGGCCCCTGGCGTGCGAAACAAAGGCTGAGCTGCCGGGGAGAGACCCCCGGTCCCCGGCGCAGCCAGTGAATCTCGGTTGGTAAATAATTGCTATCGAGCGGCGGTTTAATATAAATTTATGAGTGGTGTTTTATCACAGCTCGGGGCTGCGGCGAGCCCTGAGTGATGGATTTCAGGCCGCACTTACATTCATTACGTTAACTTTGTAAGTTATTTAAAGCTTGTGTACTCCACATTGCTCTTGGCTTTCGGTGACCTCCTGGGACGAGGCAAGGACTGCACATCCCTAACGCGGGGACGGCCGCCGGAAGGCGGTGCCGCGGAAGTTCCCTGAGCGGAAAAAAGGCACCAAGCGCCTGCCTGGAGTCGGGCGTTCTGGCTGCAGACCCGTGGAGCCGCCGACTTTCTGACACACCAGTGAATTAGGTGGTGGACCCCCGTTAGGCCCCCCTTTGCCGCTTCCAAGCAAGGCCGGAGGCGTGGCCGAGATGTCGGGAGACCCTCACGTTTCTTCCAGTGCACACAGCTGAAAGACGTCCCTTGGTGTCCGGGGTCGGGGGTGACGTGACCCACAGGAGGCGGCGTAGTGCCAGGTGACGGGGAGTCGGTGACCCTGCTCTTCCCGCTGCGATGCCTTCCTGTCGCTGGGAATGAGCCCGAGCCGCGGCAGTCTGAAACGGTGGCCGTTTCATTACTGCTCAGCGTTCCGAGAGTCGGGAGCGTGGGCCTGGTGCCCCGGGGACAGCTTGTATCTGCTGCCCAGGGCCACTCCCTCGCGGCAGCCCTGCACCTGAGGTCTCCAGGTCTCTCTCCCCCCAGTCTGTGCAGCGGGACCATCGGCCCCCCTGTGGGCTGCTGAGGCTCCCGGGGCGTGGGCACAGGAGCTGCCGGGCCAAGGGCTTCCGCCGGGGTGGGCCCAGCGCGGTCTGGTCGGTCACGTGGAGTTGGGGGGCCAGGATCCCCTGGGAGCTGGGTGCCCGAGGTCATCTCTGGAGACTGGCCACTCAGCCAGCCCTCCCACCGGCGGACCACCCACACCCCATCCCCAGAGTCGCAGTCTCGCCACAGTGCTGCGCTCTGGTGTGAGGCGTCCGGGACCGTCATCGACACCGGGCCCTGGGGCTGAGGCTTCTCCGCCATGTCCGCCAGAGGCTGCGCTTCCCGCGGGCAGCAGGCCTGAGGCCGCCCTGCCGGCCGAGCACTTCCGGCTTCCCTGCTGCCCCTCCCGCCTCCGCTGAGGTGACGTGGTCCCACGCCTGCGCTGTGTGGTGGCCACTTTCTTAGCAGTGCAGGGCGTTAACTCTGTTGTTCCTATCTGCTGTTGCCCAGAGCTCACTGGTTTGAGAGAACGGCTCTTCCGTGATTTCTCCCATTGTGGTGGTGGTTCAGGACCATGGACAGCGCACCGCGCAGCTTTCTCAGTTGTGATCTTGACCTTGTGGGTTTGCACCTGGGCAGTAACGGGGGGGGCAAGGAAGCAGGTCCTTCCGTTTCCCTTACATCATGTGGGCAGGAGGTGGGGGGTTCCAGAGGTCAGAGCTCCACCTGGCCTTGCCAGAGCGGGGGTTGTGGGGGGGGGGAGCCCCAGCGTTGGGGGGAGGACATGTGGAGGCCAGCGGCCTGCTTCGCCCCGGGCAGGACGGCGGCCTGCTGGGGGCGGGGCCTCGAACCGGAGCAGATCCTCACCCGCCATCCAGGGAAGTTCGGTGCAAACGCGCTTCGCGTTGGTGGTGTCGGCGTCCAAGTTCCCGTGCTTGTCAAGAAGCCCTTCATCTGCTTTCATTAAAGCAGGATTTAAGTGAATTCCACACATTTCATCTGCTAAATGCTGTCACTGCCTTTGCAAATGGAATTTCATTTTTAATAAGTTCAAAGTCTGGCGTGAAAACCTGTAAAATGAAATGTTCTCGTTTGCAAATAACGCAAGGTAAGAATATCGTTAACGTCTTGTTTTTGGAGAAGGGAACTTAGCTATGGGTTTTTGTTTTGTTTTTTAAATAAAACATGCCTGTGGGCATGCCGCATGTGCTCAGGAGAGGGAAGGTGTGACGTGGCGTGTAACATGCGGGGCATCGTGTTGCCGCTGTTACTGCTCAGCCTGGCGAGGTTGAGTTCTCCGCCCGCACCGGCACCACAGCGGCCGGCTGCTGTTGCAAACATTGTGCCGTTCAGTGCAGGGGAACCAAACCACCGAGTGGAACATAAGTGCTCTTCCCATTTAGGACGACGGAGTCTCAGGTGAAAGTTGAAAGCTTTCAGAATCACCCATGTGCCCGCTTCTAACACAGGACCCTTGACTCACTGCCCTGTGGCCCCTTGTCCCCGCAGGGCGTGCTGCTGAAGCGCAGCGGCAAGTCTCTGAACAAGGAGTGGAAGAAGAAGTACGTCACCCTGTGCGACAACGGCGTGCTGACCTACCACCCCAGTCTGCACGTGAGTATCGGCCGCCCTTCGCAGGCCCCCGCCCCCGACAGACGCCGTGCTTTGATGGCGTGGGGGTCACGTCGCCCAGTTCCTGGGGAGAATATCGGTGTCTCTCCTCTGGCACCGCATCGGGGGGCTTTGCCCACCGCCCCCTCATGCACACCCAACTCAAAGGTAAATCCTGTATTTCCCGACATGGTAGGGAACCAGGGGTGTCCCGGCTGCCGGGCACCGCCCCTCGGTCTTGGAGCCACGTGAGAACCGAGGGGCTTGGGTGGCACCGCTGGCCTGTTCCTGGCGTTGGTGGGAAGACCGCCCAGATCAGAGTTCCTGACTGTGCATTTCGGGGGATCTGGGGTCCGAGTCCGGTGGCCTCCAGATCAGAGACATAGCGCCCGTCCCAGGAGGCCAGCCCAAGGCCAGTGCCGCCTGCCCGGGCCTCCCGCCCCCCGCCCCCCACCCCCGGTGGCTGCCGTCGGGCCCCAGCGCAGCGCAGTCCTCACGGGCGCTCCCCACGGGGAAGCCGCCCTCCTCCTCCTCCTCCTCGGTTTAGCTCTCCGGGACCCCGCCAGAAAGCGAGGCCTGACGACTGACTGGGTGGCTCGGCGTCCTTTGGGGAGAGAACTGGAACCGAAATCCTCCTCTTGCTGGACTCGCGGGGCAGTTAACAGGGAGGTCCAGTTGATGAGTCCCTTCGGGGCACCCGACTCCCACCGGCCAAGCCCGGGCCCGTCACAGGGACCGTTGCCGCCCGTGGCCGGGGAGAGACACGGGAGCGGTGGCGTGCATCAGAAGACCCCCGTGGGCCGGCAGCCGCCTGCCAGTTTTCACCCCGGCGTCTGGGCTGCATAACCACAGTCAGTGTCCCAGCGCCCTCCCACCCAGGCCGCGCCGAGTGACGTGCCACCTCCTGCCAGGCCCACTCTTCTGTAGTGCGTGTGCGTGGGTGTTGTCGGGGTACCGGGAAGGAGCGCCGTGGGGCTTTGTCACGGAACCGCACGGCCAGCAAGGGCTGGTGCTGCTTCAAAGTGCAGCCCGGTCCACGCAGGAGCCCTGGGAACCAGCACCGCGGAGACAGGTGCACAGCCCCGGGGCGCGGCTGATCTGGACTCATCGGACTTAGTCGCGCACCGACAGGCAGCATGGCCTTTGTTGTCCCCCTTCATCGGTGCTGTTTCCGTGGCTGCACTTCGGAGGGGAGCTTGGGGGCACAGTGGGCCCCAGGCGCCTTCTCTGACTGGTGCCCGTTTGTTGGGGCGCCACAGACCCTGACAGCGGAGTCAGCCTGGGGCTTTGGGTCCGAGCTGCGGAGAGGCATCCCGGCCGGGCTTGCGCGTGGCCCCGGCTTTCCAGGACCGGAGATCCGGGGGCACGCGGGGGTGTGGTGAGCTCACCGCCCCACGTTCCGCACTCTGAGCCTGGGCCCGGTGGTTTTAGTCTGGAAGTTAGAGGTTCTCTGAGGTCACTGGCCCCTGGAAGGCTGGCCTTCCTCAGGGGCTGACCTGGGTGGCTCCCACCACGTCAGCCAAATTAAATCCCCAGGCGAGTGTCCCAGCCAGCTCCTGGCAGAACCTGCACTGAGACAGGTGCGGGGTTTGCAGCTGGAGGGCAGAGGGAGCCCCAGCCACTCCCCCCGCCACTCACTCCCCCTGCCCCACCATGTTGCGCTGGCAGCAGGTTAGTATGGAGAAGGCATCAGGGCAGCAGGGCTGTAGCTGTTCCTCGCTCCGCCCCCCGTGGGAGCCGGAGGCTAACACCCCTCGAAAGGACGTCTGAACGCTGTCCTGGTCCGCCTCTCACGGAGCAGGTGCGGCTCCTCCTCCCACAGGTCCCCGGAAGCGCTTGTGTACCAGCAGGTTGCCCCTGGGCCCCCCCACGCCGCTCACCCACAGGCAGGTGGTGTGAGGACGCTGGCGGGAGACAAACTCGGGATCGCCGAGGAGCCAGCAGTGCCAGCTCGGGGCCCCCGCCGTGCGCTGCACTTGGGGCATCTCAGCGAGGCGACGTGCCCTCCAACACTGCGCCTCAGGACCAGGCTGCCGGTCATGAGCTGGGGCTGTCGGGCTCTGCGGCACCCGGGGCGGCCGGTGTGAGGCTGGCAGGCGTCTTTGCGGCCTCCGTGGACCCCAGGCAGGGTTCTGGGGACACGAGATTGTGGTCGAGGGACCCCAGCGGGGGGTGGCAGCCCTAAGTTGCCCCGTCCCACTGGTCACCGTTGCTTCATACTCCTGTTCTTCACGCCGTCTCCCTGAGACCCCCTGGTTCCCAGCCCTTGCGGTCTGCCCAGCCCGGTGGCCTCACCCCTGGGGGTGTCTTTTCTGCGGTTCGCCCCCAGCCCCAGACTCAGCTCCTGCAGACTGTCCCAGGGACCACAGCCCTGGGCCTGGACCCCAGCCTGCAGCTCGGCCTGGGCCTCTTCTCGAGCACAGGCGTTCTCCGGCCTTCCTTGCTGCACCAGAGGGAAGTCGTTGCAGGGACCTTGGGGCCGCGGGCCTGTGTCCTGCCGTGGAGACCCTTACAGGGCCCTCTGCGCGCAGTAGGGCGGGTTGCCTGTGTGTGGTCAGGTCAGAGCAAGTTCGCGTTTCTCTCGAATCAGAGAGAACCCGGACCGAGTGTTGCCCCAGCCCAGAGGGGCGAGGAGAGCTCTCTGGAAGTCGGTAACAAACCCCAGGCACCCCCCCCCGTGCTCCCGGAAGCCCGGACCTGCCCGTCCCCCGCTGCCACGCGTCCTGGCCCCGCGTCAGCCGCTCCCCGGAGGCTCGGGAGCCCGTAGGTAGCGGTGGCCGGCCGGGCCCCCGCCTGCTGCGCTGCAGGTCGAGCGGAGAGGCGGGCACAGGGGGATGGCGTGATGGTGGCTTGCAGGCCCAGGTGTGTTGAGACCGGTGGCCCCCTCCGCAGCCATGGGGCCCTGTGGCGGGGACGCGGTCACTGAGCACTCACTCCGGGTCTGCCAGTGGGGGAGCACGGGGGGCGGGGGGGCTTAGACAGCCGGCAGGTCCTCGGCGACGTCTCCCTGACCGAACGTGTTCATCGGCTGGCCCTTGACGTGAGCGAAGGTTGGAGCGTGCCAGGGGAAGGTCGGCTCGCACGCCCGTCCCCTTCCACGTGCAATGAGGCCCCTCCTTCGAGATGTGCGTTTGGAGGTCGCTGAGAGCCGGCGGACGGGGTCTGGACCCCTGGAGAAGGAATCCTCCCAACGGGTGCGAAGTTGGGTGGTGCTGTCTTATATGAGGTCACTTCCGACCCTTCAAGAGTGCGTGGCCCTTCCAAGGGAAGCGTGTCCCGAGGTCAGCGCTGTTCAGAGGAGGACTGGCCACGTGGCAGGACGAGGATTCACCAGAAAAACCCCCTTCACTTGGTTCGTCTCTCTCTCTCAACGTGCTGGTGTCGGGTTAAGTAGAACCTGTCGCCCGGTTCAGATGACAGGTGGAGAGTTCAGCCCAGATACTGCAGACACTCCCGGCAGGGGGATGGCAGCCCCGTTGGCCCTGGACCGAGGGTGCCCAGGACGCAGGACTCTCGGGGCCGAGTCCCGGGCCGCCTGGCACAGACTGACCACCCACCCTCCAGGACGGACTCGCTCCCCTGGTCCTCCACTCCACTTGGCGTTTTGCAGAGACGGCCCGGAACGTTTAACTAAGACAAACACAGTAGAAGGCGAGACCTCGGGTGCTGCCCTGGGGTGTCTCTCTCTGTTTCTCTGAAAAACTACATGTGCACGAGCCCCGCGTGCCTGGTTTCCCGGGGGCCGCGGGGATGCGTACGAGCATCCTGTGGCTCTAGGACACCGGGCCGGGTCCCAGTCGGGCTGGGCGAAGGGCAGCCTGCTCTGTGGACTTGAGCGGGAGCCCCAGGGAGCACCGTGATGGAAGAGCAGAGGGATAATGGGAAAGAGCTCAGGCCTCGGAGCTTTGCAGCATCGCTGCCCGGGCATCCTCGGAGGGACATGTGGCAGAGAGAACGGCGCACCGGGTGACACGTCGTTCCCGGCCCCCGCGGCCTGAGTCGGAAACAGTTGTGGTGCCGCTGCTTCTCCCGACTCCCCCTCACAGGACGTTTGTTGTAGACGCGTGCGGCCGGCCGGCTCCACGAGCCCCCGGGCCGCGCCTGCTGTGGACGTCTGGTCGGCTGTTTGCGCTCCAGCAGAGGCAGACTGGGACTCGCTCCGCTGTCACCGGGATGCCGACCGACCGCAGGGTGCTTCTAGTTCCCGCGCCCGACAGAAGGTCCACTTCGTCAGGAGCTCGGCAGCAGCAGGGCCGGTGGTTCCGAGGTCGGCGTGCTTCTGGAGAGGAGAGCGTGGCGGGAACGGGGCGCGAGGCCGGGGCTGTGGGAAGCAGTCCTGTCTGTGCCCACAGTTGTGCCGTGAAACAAGCGCGTCTCGCTCGAGGGCTGGGGCGGGGGTCACTCACTCTGTGGCCAGGACTCCGGCCGGCCCGCACACCTGCGCAGGTGGACCGCGAGGGTCTGAAAGCAGCGGACATGCAGCTGCCCCGGGAGACACCCTCCCTCGGTCTCGCCAGAACCTCCCAGGAGACGGAGCGGCGCGAGTCCGGACGACTGGACGGACGGTTTGTGCGGCCACGAGGATGCGGAGCCGCTGGGCCTGGAACCACCGCCTCCCCCGCCCACCGAGGCTGCGGCCAGTGAGCCTTGTCTGTGCCCCACCCCCGCGGAAAGCGCCCTTCACTCGAGGAGGAGGGGCCCTGGGACCTTGTTTCCCGCCCCACGCCGCAGTGCTGGGGGCTGTGCGCCGGTCGGCGGGTGCCTTTCCCGTCTGGCTTCCGGCATTTGCAGGCCGTGGTCCAGGTGGACCTTCCCGCCCCTCCTCTGCGAGAGGTGCCCCCGGCTCCCGGGCGCCTGCCTCGTCTGTGCTGTCCTGCCTGCTGTAACTCCTCGGAGGGCCAGGGCTGCCACCCACTCCCCAGTGTTTGCCCACAGCTCGTGTGTGCGTGTGGCTCTCAGGTCAGTGTACGTGGGCCCATGGAATCCTGTCCTGTGGCTCCTAC